GCCATCATTGAATTCAGAACCTTTGATAGTCAAAGAATTATTCTTAACGACTAGGGCAGTCTAGATTTGAACCCACCTCTTATGCTATTTCTTAGGACGATCTGGACGATGATGACATCATGATCCTCGACAATGGTGAACTCGTATTTCTTTGGCTGGGTGCTCGAGCTAGTGAAGTCGAAGTGAAACTAGCATATAAGGCTGCCACGGTAATTTTTGAATGACAGAAATTACAGTTAGATGTTTTGCTGATTCGATTTTTTTTCACAGAAAGTCAACTGTATTGTTTTGCTTCTTATACTAGCTGAATGTTTTGTCAGGTCTATGTGGCTCATATGAGAATGCGTCAGACAGACCGACCACGCACTTTGAAGTTGGCAATAAAGGGCAAGGAATCAAAGCGTTTCAAGAAGTGTTTTCATGCCTGGGGACGGCATAAGGTATGTGTTATTACTGTATGTACCGTTTCTATAAAATGGAAAACTTTTCTATGATCCATTACCTTGACACTTATTTACCCTTTACTACCCACTATTCGATGTCCCAGTCAGAAAATCTAATCTGTTGTCCTGGGCGTGGTTGATTCCCTGGATGCGCATGTAACATTCGCTTGGCATGAAAGCGCCTATTGCTTGCGTTACAGGAACCGCCGGCAGGGTAAATATTCGATGGTCACTTGGGTGCGTGCGAGGACGCAATTCGGCTTGGTGGGAGTACCAAATGGTTTTCATCGAAACTTCTACTGGCTACCTTCTGAAACCTCAAACCCCTATAATCAAAGGCTCTCTTTTACACAAGATTATGAGTTAGGGATGATAAGGGATATACAGTACCTTAAAACGTCGCGTAAAATGAATGGACTAGGTTTCATGAACACGCAAAACATTCCCATTGTGCGCCATGGCCTCTGCTGTGAGCGGCCTGTGTTGTAGATGGAGAACAGTATACGCGCCGCCCTGGCTTGGCCTTTGCCCCCCCCCCCTAAACACACGTTTGCTCGCACAAGCGTCTGGGGTAGTGGTGAAATGTGCACGACCAGGCAAGGTCGTCGCTGTATAATGCAGGCCCAAAGACGGCCTCATACTTAGGCATTTGCCCCGGCCGAGCAGCGCCCCAGCGGGCCCTAGGTGTTCCTGAGACAAACGGATTTATACTCGTTTTTCAAGAGTCATACTTCCCCACGGGCCACATTCCTCTTCCTAGGAATCAAAACCCTGCTCAGTGTTTGGAGAATAGGATCGTGAAGAGAGAAGAGTGTCGTTTCTTGCTACATCATAAGTGTGTTTCATTTATTATTTTCAGGTTCCCGCTGGAGATTAACTGTGGTTATAGATCGTTTGAAATTACCTAGTCATTTTTTCTCGTAGGAGAACTTTTGTTTCTAACTGCTCACAATAAGGTCTTCCCAGCTTTCACCGCATTTTATTTCACCTTGTACAGTAAGCATTTTATTGGTGCCTTTGAGGGCACGATTCCGCTTTCTAGGTTCACTTTATAACTTATTCCTGTGTCTTGCTTTTGTTTTTCTGTTATACGGAGAGAACAAGCGATTGATCCACAGTTCTTGACCTGCACAGTGTTGACGTATATTTTATTTCCATCAAGGTCAGGGTTAGTGCTGTACCTGAGATGGTCTACATGTTTTCTGGGTCAAACCGTTGCTCGACAAACTTTCAAATACCAAGGGAAATGCAGGATGAGAACGGTTGGCGAATGCATTTTTGTAGTGTACAGGTGCTATCTAAATTAATTAACTTTAGCATTTATTCAGATGTTGATTGTTTTCACTGTAAGTATTTATGTGCACCGTGTTGTTTTCAATTGGAAAGAGTTTATAAATATTTAAAACATATCCGTTTTGCTATGAAAGGGCCAACACGACTGCCAGCCAGCATCTCGTCCCCGATGAGGGAGCTAGCTCGGAATGTACCGGATGTAACTTCCAACGGCCGTCGCTCGAAAGTAAATAGGGTGTCCGTAGAACCCTCCCCACCCCCTTAGTGACTGTGGTGGGTATGGAGGTATATGCTTGTACCTATGCTACTTGTACTTGTGCTACTTGTATTAGGATGCAGCTGTACATGTTGCGTGTCATGCGAATTTTACCCACTAACAGTGAAAGGTTTCAAGTTCCCGGTGAACTTTGAATAGAGACCTAAGTTACTTACTTAGGTTACTTAGGCGACCCGTTCTTCAGCACGGCGGTTGACCTTGCGCGGGTCCCAACTTCTTTTCCATTGATCTCTGTCTTGAGCCTTGCTTGTCCAGTGCATAGAGACCTTAAGAGAAGTATGATCATAAACATTGTTGCGATAGGCCAGAGAGTCGGCCCAGCGCAGAGGAGGGCGGACAGGCGGTCGCTTCTTGTCACGCGGGTACCATCGTATGGTCGCAGAACTCCATCTTCCGTCGTATCTCCTCAACACATGACCAGCAAATCGATGTTTTGCTTCGTCTACGTGGAGTACAATGTCCTTGATCTTCGACATGGCTCTGACGTCTGAGTTGTGGAGCTTTAATTCTCGTTGACGGCTCAACGTCAGACCTACTAGGCGGCGCTCAATTGATGCCTGGATAGCTTTTAACCGTCTTTCGTGCGCTTTCGTCAGGGCCCAAGTTTCTCCCGCGTAGGTGAGGGCAGGCAGCACTGTTGCATTGAAGAGGTCCGCACGGAGTTTGTGACTCTTGGTATCTTCCACGACGCTCTTTATAGAGTTGAATGCTGCCCATCCAGCTTTGCAGCGCCTCGCTAGCTCTCCAGTTAAATCATTCCTCATGTTCAGCTGGCTGCCGAGGTACACGTATTCCTCAACGTC